GCATGCCACTTCCCTCCAGTCATGGGGACTAACCTCTTCCCCCACCCCAAACTGGGAAAAGGTTATTTTCACACTGCCTCCACACAGGAACTAACATAAATTGCTTAAATGGCTGCAGCACTCAGGAGACAGACCCTTTTGGAGCTGAGCTGCACGCAGGGAGGGAAAAACCCAGGGGACTTTTTAATAACTAGCAAGGGGAGCTATTAAAGTGTTTTACCGCCTCGTTAAGACAGTCTAATCTCTGTGTATATCTTTAAAAAAAATATGTCTTCCTGGTGGTTTTATTCTAACTGAGATGGGTGTTTTCTGGCACCAGTTGGGATCCTGCCTGCTTTATCTGCTTGTTTTCTTACCTGATACCAGCACTGAACAGTCCAAGAGCAGCCCAAGGGCAGCACCAGGCAGGGCCAGACAGATCACTCCTTGCTGGGCAGCAGCGAGGAGAGAGGCAGCAGATCCACGGTGTGGGCTGTTCCCCACCCATGGGTGCTCTGCACCCCAGTGCTGCACCCACCTTTCAGACAGAGGTCCCCAGGGTGTTTCCTCCGCACGGGCTGAGGACACGTTGGCTCTGCAAAGTCTGGAGGTGGGTGACCCCTCATCCAGGCAACCCAGAGACAGGGCAGGGAATGGAAGAAAAACTGCGAGGTCTCATCCACCCCTCCAGCTCCAAGGGCTGGGATTTGGGGCATACACACATTCTGGGGCTATGGACAAGTCAGGCTCCTGTAAACTAGGCTGAAGAGTCCACATCCAGGGGGTGCCCTAGCAAAGGCTCATCTGCAGCAATACAGAGCTCTCCAACCACCAAGGCCTAGCTTTGGAAGGGGAATGGGCTGGGTATTTTGTTCCTCAAGTTTTTCTTTATTTTATTTTTGACTGCAGCCTAGCAGAAAAAAATAGGGAAAACTTGCTGGCTCCAGCATCCAAGTCTCCATCTGCAAAAACTCACAGTTTCAAAGCCAGGAGCCGGAACGGAGGCTGAGGCCGGGATGGCAGGGCTGGATAAGCTGCTTGCGTTTGCTTTGGAAAAGCTGATGTTTGCACGAGCACCGGCTCCAATGGTTTTAAAGGGACCCACCCAGAAGCAAACCCCAACAGCCTAAAATCAGAGCTTTGGCTGCTTCCCGCCCATGGTTGGGCTGGAGTCTGTTCTACACCCAGACCCTCCCCGCACATCCCGGGTGCAGGAGGCCACAGGAGCCAAGGCTGCAGCTGCAGAACAAGGGAAGCAAACAGAGACCCAAGTACAGCTAATGGGGCTGGCAGACAACTAGAAAGATCTTCCTTGGAAATTTGGGGTGGGAAGGGTGAAGCTGCTGTTTGTAGCCGGAGACATAGTTCAGCTGAGCTCAATAGGCCCCATCTCCCAGAGATCCAGCCTCACCAGCACCCTCGATCCCAGCAGATGCAGGCTCCAGCACCCAGCTGTTTCAGCAAGCATGACTTTTATGTGTCACCACCATGATGTGAGACAGGACACATCCCCAGACACATGGACTGTGCCTGTTTCAGGACTGGGGCTAAACCTGACCTGCCTGCAGAACTGCCAGCAGCTCCAAGATATTTTAGCCCCAATCCTCCTTCCCCTAGAAACCCCCCATAAGCCTGCAAAGTACCAACAGTGTAGCCTGGGAGAAACGATACCATTTATTAAGCCAGCTATTTTTTTTTTTTTGAGAATTATTTGAACAGCTCTGAAAGACTTACCCTGTCTCCCCCAGGGACCTTCAAGCTGATTTATTGCATGCAGGGCTAGAAGAAAAGCAGGGGACAGCTGCCAGCTTTGGGGGACACGGTGGCTTGGTGGCAGTGGCAGAGCTACACAGGGAGCCACGGGCTGCTCGCAGGTAATAGCAAGCCAAGCGTGGCTGCTCCAGGCCAGGCAGATGGGATGCTCACATAGGGCAACCCTGAGCAGTTTGCTGGGATTCCCCTAAGTCCTCAGCAGGTGCCATCTCTGGGAATTTTGGACGTTGTCCTGCTCTCCATGTGCATCCAGGGAAGCCCTGAGGATCTGCAGGGGAAGGGAAGGTGCTCAGGGGTCTCAGCATGGAGGGCAGTTTCCACTGAAGGTGCTGCTTCAGAGACGCAAAGCTGAACCTGTTGCACACCTGTCCACCTTCCTAAGCATGGCCAGCTCGTGTCACATCTAGAAAGTGTCACAGCCAGGTCTTCTCTCTGTTAGTTTCCCACTGACATTAGGCAATGTCCCCACTCCCACCACCCCAGCAAGGAAGGAGCCAGGCTTCGATCAATGCAGGCAGGGGAACAACAGCACCATGGCAAGAGCAAAGCTGTCACAGCACTCAGATGGAGACAGACACATCCACAGGTTGAAGCTAGGATCTTCCAGGCTTATCCACCTGTGTGGAAGAGCCCCTCTCCTTGCAGCAGGAGGCTGCAGGATGCTCAGGTACTTCCCTTCATCATTTAGTGAAGGCACCAGGTCCTGCCCAAGCTCTCAAGATCTCACGCTGCTCCAGCTGCAAGCCATGCTCTACAGGCCAGCAAGGGGTGTGCTGGGAAGCATGGTGGGTGGACAGTAAAAGGCACAGACAGAAGCCAAGGCTAAAAGGACAGAGACGACATCTCCAGGGCAGGGTTGCTGCAAATCCACCCTGGCAAAGAAGACTCATGTTGCTGGTAGGTGGCAGAGACCTGGTGCCATTCATCACACAGACGGAGAATCCAAGCCGTCACCTCCCTCACACTGCAGCAGGGGAAAGCATAAGCCTCTCTGAGTCTGAGACCCACAGGCTCTGACAGGCTGCCCATATACTGCCACGTTCTGGGGCTTCTGCGGGACCGGGTCCCAAGGTAGAAGACAGTCCAGAAACAAACTGGGAGTACTGGATCTCAATCTCCCACCCAGTGCTTTTCCCTTCTCTTGTAATCACATCAGGAAGGGAAGTCTGCACCATCATCCTTCCTCCACAGGACACAGTCAAAGGCTTCCCTGCCCAACCAGAGCAGCTACAGTGACCACTCTGATCACACTTCAGATCAGCTTCACAGAGGCGTAAAAACCAGACAGGGCTTCACTCGCAGGGAAGGAGGTTTTAGCATCCACCATGTGGTGCAGCCAAACACCAGGTGCTGCAGCCAAACACCAGGTGCTTCAGGTCAACTCTACGCTGGATGGACACTGGCCTTGAAGACAATGGAAATCAGCACATCTAACAGGGATGCCCCTGCTTGATGGTCTGTCCCACAGCTCGCATGGAGTATGCTGGTGTCACCAAGCTGTGGATGCGTGGGAGCACCTCCAGTCCTCTCTGGGTAGCCCATTTTCGGGAAGGGTCCCCAGTTTTTGCAGACAGGAGGCTGAGGATTAGAGGGGAGAGGTCCCAGGAGTCTCACTGTCCCAGGTTTGCTCACCTACCCTTCCCCACCACCAACAACAAAGGAGTGATCAGCCACCTGCAACCACCACCCTGGCGCAAAGGACTAAATTTACAGGGACCCACTTCTTCCTGCTTCTCCCAGAAATTTGCCACAGGGCAGGCACCCCATCCCTTAGGGCTGCATCACCAAATACTGACAAGGGGGGGTCAGAGGAACAGTACAACACCACCAAGCCAGCCTGCCCCCCTTCTCCAGCCATCCCAACTTCCACAAGCGAAGACAAGTGAAGCAGAGCGGGCAGTTGGGAGAGCTGGACTGGGAAGGCGAAGCCACAGGCTACAAGAACGTCACATCATCCTGAGACTGGAGCCAGCGCCAATGGGCATCATACTCCAGATGCAATTTGCTGTTGAGTTTGCAGTTCTCAGAGTCAGCCTCAGCTTTTCGAGCCTTCCCACCTGGGTTGCCCTTCCTCTCCCCAGCTCCCGATGGCAATTTGGTGTCTCTGCCTGCTTCCAGAGAGGAGGGCTGCTGGCCCAAATACCCATTGGCCACCTGGGGCTCCTTTGCAAAGTGATGATCCTGGGGCAGCCTGGGTGGGGAGAGGTCCACGTGGGGCCACTCGTGCTCCGCTTTGCCCTTCTCTTGCTTTGCAAGACCCCTCTCAGGGTCGATCCTGACCCAATCCTGCTCTGCTCTGACCAGGGCTCTGCCTGGCGCAGATGCAGCGGTGGTTTCGGCGGCGTTTTGGGAATACTCATCCATGTCATCTGCCAACGTGTCCAGGTAGCTACCGACAGAGATGCTGTCCAGCCTGTCGTTGGGGTCCTGCAGGCTGTCCCCGCTGCCCGCTCGCGCGGGCGCCCGCACC